ATATAATCCATTTGCGCACCTAAGAGGTTAAGGGTCAATATGAATGAACCGAGTGAATCAATATAGGTGAATCAGGGTTGAGGTGAGTTATGACCCTTTAACAATGATTGATGAATTAAATATAAACGGATTAGTATTATTTAACCCTTACATAACCCAACCCAATCCATTTGCCACCCCTGGGCGGGTGGCAAACTATTAGCTGACCTTGTACTTTTGGTCCCATGAGAGCATGAATGATTAAGGCGTAAGCAAATTGTTGGAACATGGAGTTTTTTTTTTTTTTTTTCATCCAATTGATGTAATTTTTACACAGTAGTTGTAGCTAAGAAAATGATGAAAATAAACTGCCTTCAAAGCAAAACGAAAAGAATTTTCTTTTCCGTAGCGATTCATCCAAGCTTAACTTTCGATTTCTAAAATGATACAGTATTACATTTTAATGACAATGAAGAAATTCAGCAGGCAAGATGTTGCACCTTCAAACTGCTGAAAAAGTGGGACCCATTAAGATGAGGTAGTGGACCCACTGATGGGAACCTCATCAAATTGCTTTTTCATGGGTTGCAAGCTCTTGCACCTGCAATTTGCTGAAAACAGTGGGACTCATTAAGATGCGGAAGTGGACCCACTGATTGGAACCTCTTGACACTGCTTATTCATGGTTGCATTTAGTCTATTGGCAAATTGCACCAGCAACATGTTGCTGATGTCCAGATCTATTATATTCATATCTTTGCATAGGGGTGATCATTTGTATAACTTGAATTTTATATCGGCCCATTATCACCTCTATCCTTGCAACACCCGAAAGAGTTTCAATTGTTGAAAGTTGAAACTGCATTTTTATGGGCTACAACTCAAAACTACTGTGAAGTCTGAATTAGTCAATTCTAACAGGTTTTAGGTGACAAATAACATGCATTCCTACATCTTATGTTACTAGTAATTAAACACGTGTATTGCATATGAGATATTTTTCTTCATATTAATTATTTGAATTTTACAAATAAAAATTGAAAATTAGTAAAAGTAACAATATAATTAAAAATAAATTTAAATCCTTGTAGTAATGTGTGCATGCATTGCACATGGATTTTATTTAATATGATGAATATTGTATTCCAGTTGTCATAAATACAAATAATACAAACAATATTATTATTAAATATTGTATTCCAGTTGTCATAAATACAAATAATTTTTATCTTAACAATTATTTTATTTAATATGATGAATATATAACATTAGAAATAGTCTCAAATGTTTTGACAAACTTTTGTACTTTTTCATTTTTTGTGTTCTATCTTTTTTTAAATATTTATTATTCAATTATAACATCATGATTTTCCTTAAAAAGTTGGATCATTGATCCACCATCTAAATAAGAAAATGGCATTGCTTTCGGATCAATTATAAATTATATATTTCATCTACATTATATAAATAATTTTTACTTATCACACTTAATTTGTGTTTGATATAATTAATATATAATTTTTTATATATTCTTTTGATTACTTGTACTTTTTTATATTTTTAAAGATCTATTATTTAACTATCATATCATCGATTGATTCATTTGACCCAGACCACTAATCCACCACCCAAAAAAGAAAAGGTTTGATTTCTAGGATTATATTAAATTTTGTAACATTTCCATTATTGATAAAATTATTTCTTATGTTTAATACTTATTTTTGTTATTTTACCAAAAACTACTTATTTTTGTTTAGTATACTGAATGCATAATATTAGAGATGCATCCAATATTTTATTTTTTATAAAAATATAACAAAAGATTTGTGCCCAAAATTTTCTCTATATTTTGTGATTTCTTTGTATTTTCTATTTTTAAAAATTTTATTATTTGATTATGATATCATTTCATCTCTTGGTTGATTGTAAATTTGGCATTCCATTTTTATCATTAATAAAAATACTTCTTACGTTTTCATAATTGTTTTTGTTTAGTATAATGAATATACAATATTAGAGATATGTCCAATTCTTATTATTTTTTGTATTAAATATTTTATTTATTTTAATTTTTTATTATTTAATTATGTCATTATTTATTAACCCATTTGACCCCAAATGGTTGAATTGCTTACCCACTACTAGGAGGGAAGATTTTTTTTAAATTATTTTTCAAAATATTTATTTTTATACTATTAAAATTAATGTTGTGGATTTAATTAGTAGAATTTAATGATAAAAAAATATATCTTAAATATAAGATTTAATGAGGAAATATATAGGAAAATAGTTTTATTTCCAATTGGTTTTAAATTTTACATTCCATTTCCAATATTAATAAAAACATTTCTTATTTATAATACTTATTATTGTTTAATATGTCAAATATATGATGTTAAAAATGTTGTCAATTTTTTCTTTAATTTTTATATTCTTTTCATTTTATCTATTTTTGAATTTTATTAATTCATTGTGGCAACATGAATTTTTATTTTAACAAATATTTTTATTTAATATGATGAATATAGAACATTAGCAATGTTCTCAAAAGTTTTTAACAAAATTCTATACTTTTTCATTCTTTATGTTTTATCTTTTTTTAAACATTTTTTATTCAACTATGGCATCATGAGTATTTTTGAAAAGTTGAATCATTGACCCACCATCTAAATAAGAAAATAGCTTTGCTTTCAAATCAATTGTAAATTATATATTTCATCTACATTTTTTTTTATTGGAAACAGTAACTTTCTTTAATTCTTTAAGAAACTTAGTACAATTGTCACTTTCAGAAAACAAGGTGACCCCTCCACATATTACAAACAGGCCCAAAAAAGGTTCTACCTACTAACTCATTGCTTTGCTAAAGTATCAACCATTGCACTAGCTAATCTCCTACTCCATTTAAACCTGACTTCAAGCTCCCTTGTTAGTTGCATAATCTCCCTTACAAGTTGTCTAAGGGATCAGGCGCCTAAGTTGCTTGTTTGCATCTAACCTATTACCAATTTCGAATCTCCCTCCACTTCCAACTGCTGAAAACACAACTATTTAGCCAACTTGAGCCCTTGTAGGAGTGCCAAAACTTCTGCTCTAAGAGAGTCCCCTAGTCCTATTGGGCCAGAATAAAGGGCCAGGACATTTCCTCCCCCATTTCTAAAAACACCCCCAATTCCAGAGGTGCTTGGATTACCTATAAAACTGCTGTCAAAGTTTAACTTAACATCCAAAGATAACTAATTTTTACTTATCTCACTTAATTTTTGTATGACAATAATTAATTCTTTTGATTACTTGCACCTTTTTTTATTTTTAAAGATTTATTATTTAACTATTATATCATTGATTAATCCATTTGACCCAAACCACTAACCTACCACCTAAAAAGAAAAATAGTTTGATTTCTTGGTCAACATTAAATTTTGTATTACATTTCCATCATTGATAAAATTATTTCTTATGTATAATACTTATTTTTTGTCAATATAATGAATGTATAATATTAGAAATATATCCAATATTTTTATTTTTTATAAATATATAACAACAAAAAAGTGCCCCATTTTTTCTAATTTTTTATTTATTTTTTGTGTTTCTTTGTATTTTTTAAAAATATTTTCTTATTTGATTATGGCATCATTTCTTCTGTGTTGATTTTAGATTTGACATTCCATTTTCATCATTAATAAAATTACTTCTTATATATAATAATTATTTTTGTTTAGTATAATGAATATATAATATTAGAGATATACCCAATTCTTTTTTTCTTTTTTTGTATTTTGATATTTTATTTATTTTTAATTTATTATTTAATTATGACATTATTAGTTAACCCATTGACCCAAATGGTTAAATTGCTTATCCCCTGCCAAGAGGGAAGAAAATGGTCAAATTACTTTTCAAAATATTTATTTTTATACTATTAAAATTAATATTGCGGGTTTAATTAATAAAATTTAATGATGAAATCTTAAATATATGATTTAATGAGAGGATATACCTTAAATATGAGATTTAATGAGAGAGAATACAAAAAATAGTTTTATTTTCAATTGGTTTTAAATTTTATATTCTATTTCCATCATTAATTAAAACATTTCTTATTTATCATACTTATTATTGTTTAAAATGTTGAATATATTATGATAAAAGTGTTCCCATTTTTTTTAATTTCTACATTTTATCTATTTTTGAATTTTATTATTTAATTGTAGAAACATGGATTGGCCCATTTAACTCTAAATGGTTTAATTTCTTACCACCACTTAGATGAAAACACTATTTTTTAAGTATATTTTAAAAGTATAAGTTTTTATGTTATTGAAATTATTAATTTATTTATGTATAATATTAATTAATAGAATTTAATGACGAAAAGAAACAAAAATGTCTTAAATATATGATTCAATGAAGGTAAATGCAAGTTAATAACTTAAATGTTGGATTTAATGAAAGAGAATTCAATGCATTGAATATCTTAATATTACCTTTTTCAACTCATTTAATATCAATAACTGATTACCCTATTTGCCCCATTGTTTTATCAATAAATTTAAATATGGAGGCATAAATTGTCTTGAGAAAATTCCAGAAATATTTTTATGGCTATTCGTGCTTTATAAAGTAGTATCGATATAGATATAGATATAGATATAGATATAGATATAGATTTTCACTAAAGCTGTGTTTGGTTTGAAAGAAAACATAGAGAAATCTATACAAAATTTGTATATGTTTCCCTATCTTTCCCTTGCTTTTTCTTTCAAACCAAACACAGCCCTAAAACACCTTTCAAAGATATGTTTCATATTGAAAGATACGCATTGCCGATAACCACATGATTGTTCTATCAATAAAACAGGTAGAAAATAGAAATGTATTGTACTAGCACGCTAGGATCATGAGTCAAGAGTTTCATCAAATTCAAGCTCAATTACACACAACAAAAATGTTAACATAAATATTTTACATGGAAAGAAAATCAGGCACCCCAATTAAGGGATAAGAAAGAATGAATCTATAGCAATCAATACTACAAGCATTCTAAATGAATATAAGCTGAAATTTGTAGATATTGTACATAATGAAACAATTAAAGAAAAGAATCATCGTTTCTGGGTTTGACAACAGGAGAACGTTACACTGTTGTAACATCTAAAACCAGGTGCTATTCATCATCCCAAGTATCTGAAAAGTGATTCTTGAACCTGAATAGATGGAATGAAAGAAAAAGTCATATGAGGTAATGCAGACTTAACTGTAAAGAAATATCTTGTTAAGTAGCAAGTCGGCATTTTCCTTTCACAAAGCAATGTGAAAAACGTAAAATAAAATGTCAACTTTCATGGTTTTATATTTTTTATTTTCTCAGTTCCTACGCAAACATCAGAGGGGAGAAAAAATGTAAAAAAAAAAAGTGCTAATGACTTTGAATCACCAAACAGTATCTGCATAGCAACTCATGTTATTATTGATATAGCCAACATGATAAACATCTTTGTCAACCAACAAAAGCAAAATGCAAAATGCCTCAATGAAAGATTAGCCAAACTTGTGTCATGGTATTGAAGTGGTTGCGTGTTATATGGACAACTTTAATGAGGTCGAAATCTACTCCAGCTTGTGAGGAAGGGCTACAACTGATATTGTTTAACTTGAATATTTAAGAACGGGTTTTCTTCTTTACAGTCATCATTTCTGCCTTAGCCCACATAAGTGGAGATTTTCCTTATCAAGGCTGCGTTTGATTGCAGTGGAAATCTTGACTGAGTGCAAAACTTGTACCTGTTTCCTTTCACAAAGCAATGCGAAAAACGTAAAATAAAATGTCAACTTTCATGGTTTTATATTTTTTATTTTCTCAGTTCCTAGGCAAACATCAGAGGGGAGAAAAAATGTAAAAAAAAAAAAAAGTGCTAATGACTTTGAATCACCAAACTGTATCTGCATAGCAACTCATGTCATTATTGATATAGCCAACATGATAAGGCTGCGTTTGATTGCAGTGGAAATCTTGACTGAGTGCAAAACTTGTACCTGTTTCAGTTCTGCTTTCGTTTGTTTGTAATTATGATTTGCATTCCTACCTGATATAAAATTTGTACCGTCTCTTTTGCACTAATTGGCAATGCAAATTTTGCATCCCAAAAACTGATGCAAAATTTGCACCACCTTCCTCCTACAATTCTTTCTCATATAAAGTGGGACCACATGGTATTTAATCCTACCTTTTTTTTTAAACTGTAATGTATTCATTAAATCAAAAAGCCAACAAAGAACCCCTCTACAATGAGAAACTGAACAGAGGATATACAATTTGCTCCCTACAGCCCAAAACCCAAAAAACAACTAAATTTTCCTTACAAAAAGAAAATCCAAATCAAAGAAAGAACTAGGATGTCATTTTCTAAACAAAGGGTGAACTGCCGCCAACCAAGAATGAGCCATCCCCAGAATTTTACGTAGGATTTCTTCCTTTGAAGCCTGAATCCCTTCAAACAGTCTCCTGTTTCTTTCACTCCACACAGCCCATAACACTGCTGAAGGGAGTATGCTCCATGCTACCTTTCCAGCTCTACTTAAACGTTCTAGATGCCATGCCTCAATGAGGCCCTTCACTTTAGCTGGGAAGCACCATTTTACATCAAACACACCTACTAAACCAGATCCAATGAGTAAATTCACATTGAATCAGTAAGTAACCAGATTCGCCATAAGACTCCATATTACCATTGCATAAAGGGCAATCCAAATCTGCCACCTGTAGACCTCTTCTGACTAGATTCTGCTTTGATCTTGTCCAGCACTGCTGACCAGACAGCTAACCCTTGCATCCTACCTTTCTCCTAGACAGTTAACACTCCTATCCCCGTTGTTCTTTCATTTAAAGCAAGGTTCAAAGTATTGATATGATACGCCCCCTATCGGGTGTATCTTATCGTATCGTTGGCTTCTTGATACACCTGCTTACAGGGGTTTTGAGGAAATCGATTTTTTATTGATTAAATTATATAAAAAGCATGTAAAAAATGAACTTTTGAAAACAAAATAAAAAAATGTGGCCTAAAAAAGTATCAATACACCCCTGCCGATACAGTTGGGTGTATTGATACTTTGAAGTTTGAACCCTTGATTTAAAGTGGAGGTCATCATTTTACTTCTGACAAACAAATAAGACAGTCAAATCTGAAGAAAAAGCAAACCAGAATTTACACTCAACAGTTTTGCATTCCCATGCATTTACACTAGTACAAATGAAATTTGTACTGCAACCAAACACAGCCTAGGTAATTTGTTTAATTTTATTACTACCTTATTGGATGTTTACAAAAAGAACTGATGCGATTAGGCTTAAGTACTTTTTACGTAGAAATTCCAAATGGTTTCCTTGTAATGTGTGACATTAATGGCAACATTGTTTCATTAGCGATAGGTTTAGTTCAGCTGTCTTGACCTATGGTGTATAGTCATTAGATTGGGGCTTATATTTCCTTTTAAGCTTATCCTCTTGGTTATATACTGTTCCCAACAGTTTTCCAGTTTTCTTCTTCTTCCACAGTTTCTTCTTGGATTTATTGGAATTTCTTAGGCTTTGATTATCAGTAATTTAGACAAATCAAGCCTAAACCATCTCACGTACAAATTCACAACTACCAATAAATTAATTATCAATTAGCAGGTGGTGCATAATACATAAATAACTAATGATGGAAGTAGGTAGTACCTCAAGACAAGATGACAAGCCCTAGGTACATAGCTCCACATAGAAATAAAAATGATATTAGTCCCCTGCAATGGGATTTAAATAAAGTTAACCTCCAGAAGATGAGTTGGTTAGAATCAGAAAGAAAATCTGCATCTCTGTGTATTTTTTAAAAGAACTTTGACTGCTTGTATGAAAAACAAGCAATCTTCCCACTCAATTATGCAAAGGCAAGGATAAAAGCTCACGCTACTCACCAGATAACTCCCCATGCAACACCATTGCAAGGGCACAGGCAAAGTTCTGCAAACTTTTCTGCATCACTGGAGTGAACTCTTCGGGATATTAGATCATCATATATATCTGCATAAATACATGTGGATGATACATAATTTGACATAATAGAAGAAAAGAGCTACCCCGCATTATTAAGGTTATTTAATTGGTTAAATTCCAAAGTGCTGAACAAAAGAAACCTTAAAGCAATTTTAGTAGAATATCATACCATAAACTGAAAACAAGCTGTTCATAACACCTGCAAATTGGCAGATTAACATAATCAACATATTTTCTTCTAGATAAATGAACAAAAAAAAAATCTCTCTCATAAGGAAATGGAAACACATGCAGAAAAGCATATACCAATGAACAAAATCACATATCGAAGAATGTGGACTTTTGTAGTTTCTTGCAGTAGCCAAATTACGGCAAGGAAAATAATAAACCCTGAGAAGTTCAGTATTTGAATATTAGAAATAATATTAGATGATAATGCTAGAGAATGCAAAGACCATCAGGATCATGAAAGAAATTACCAATACAAAGTCCTCGAAGTGTCCACTGTTCAATAGGATAAAGACAATCAATAAGATGACAAAGAAGTCAAGCAGATAAACTGATGTTAAACTCAGAAGTTCTACAAAAAATAACATCAAATGTTGCATTTACATTTCTAATATATCTAGTAAGTGTGCACGTGGAAATTTAGATGATGACAATGATAGTAATAATATATCCAAAATTTTCTATAAATTTTATGTATTTTTTATTTTTTTATTATTAATCGGATGTGGATTGCAAAATCCAAATCTGATTACATAAACACTTCATCCAAATATGTGATAATCGAATCGAATTGTGAAGTTTCAAGTATCATTGACAGGCCTACCTTGGCTAAACTCTTCTTTTTGTAGTGTTTTATCTTTTTGGTGTATCCTTTTTCTTTTGCTCATATATCAAAAAAAAAATTGTAAGATTTAAATAAAGGGAATTGAATGAGGTGAAAAGTAGTAGTTCAATTACAATTTAAACCTTATAAATAAATAGTGACTAAATTCAAAAATGAGTATTTTAGTCAAAAGAAGGTTCCACAATCTTATTCATATTTTTAATAGTAATGTAAATATAGAATTATAGATGCGTTCAATTTTTTCTACAATTTTTTTGTATTTTTGTGTGTAAAAATAATTTTGATATATCACACTTACATTTTGTTTAATATGATAAATATATGATATTATACATGTGCATGAATGTTTTTTTTTTTGCAAAGTTTATGTATTTTTTATATTTTTATATTTTATTAATTTTTATTATTTATTTATGATATTAAAGGTTAACACATTTAACCCAAAAGTTAAACTATTTATTGTTAATTTTTATATTTCATTTTTGGTCAGTTTTAGATTATGTATTTCATTTTCATTATCAATAAAAATAATTATTGTTTATTACACTTATTTTTTTTTAATTTGAATAATAAAAACATTATAAATGTGTAACTTTTTCTACATTTTTTTGTAACTTTCTATATTTATTTATATTTTAAAAATTTTATTACCTAACTATGACTTCGTAGGTAGATCAATTAGATTCATATGGTTAAATTGCTTAACCACCACTTGGATAAAAAATGGTTTTGTTTTTGAGCCAATTTTAAAATATATGGGTTTATATTGTTAAAAATATGGGCTAGGGATGACAATGTTCCCCATTTCCCTGATCCCCACGGGCACCCACCCCAAATGGGGTGGGGATACCCCTCCATGGGGACGGGGAAAGCACTCCTTGCCCCATGGAAACCTCGATTCCGATATGTGTATATGTATGCATGCGTCTATATATGTATACATACGTCTATAACCTTTAATGTCATAAATAAATAATAAAAAATAAAATATAAAAATACAAAAATGAAAAAATACATAAATTTTGCAAAAAAAAAAATCAGGCACATGTATAATATCATATTAAACAAAAAGTAAGTGTGACATATCAAAATTATTTTTACATACAAAAATACAAAAATGTCTATATTTGTTTGAGAAAAGGTATAAAAGTCATTTTATTATAGCTTTAATGGCTACTAAAATGCTTATATTTGTGTATTTAATCCATCTCTAATTGTAAGGGTTGAAAATGTAATTACAATTATTACTCTCCACCTCATTTAATCCCTTATCATTAAGTCTTATACTTAAGGTATTAAATCCCATTTTCTCTTATTAAATCTTATATTTTTAAGTTAATTTTCACTAATAAATGCTACTAATTAGATCTATGCCATAAAATAATTAAAGTTTACAGTCCTATTAAAAATATAATCTCTTATCAACCAATCTTTTTTAATAGGATTGTAAACTTTAATTATTTTATGGCATAGATCTAATTAGTAGCATTTATTAGTGAAAATTAACTTAAAAATATAAGATTTAATAAGAGAAAATGGGATTTAATACCTTAAGTATAAGACTTAATGATAAGGGATTAAATGAGGTGGAGAGTAATAATTGTAATTACATTTTCAACCCTTACAATTAGAGATGGATTAAATACACAAATATAAGCATTTTAGTAGCCATTAAAGCTATAATAAAATGACTTTTATACCTTTTCTCAAACAAATATAGRCATTTTTGTATTTTTGTATGTAAAAATAATTTTGATATGTCACACTTACTTTTTGTTTAATATGATATTATACATGTGCCTGAATTTTTTTTTTGCAAAATTTATGTATTTTTTTCATTTTTGTATTTTTATATTTTATTAACTTTTATTATTTATTTATGACATTAAAGGTTAACATGTTTGACCCAAATTTTGAACTATTGATCTTTGCCAAATAGTAAAATAATTTCATTATTGGTTAGTTCTAAATTATGTATTTCATTTTCATTACCAATAAAAATAATTATTGTTTATTACACTTATTTTTTAATTTGATTAATAAAAATATCATAAATTTGTCTACTTTTTTCTACATTTTTTGGAAGTTTCTATATTTATTTCTATTTTAAAAATTTTATTACCTAACTATGACTTCGTAGGTTAATCAATTTGATTTGAATGGTTGAATTGCTTAGTCACCACTTGGATTAAAAATGGTTTTGTTTTTGAGTCAGTTTTAAAATATATGGGTTTATAATGTTAAAAATATTGACACTGATCTAATTTAATAAGAGAAAATGGGAGTTAATAATTTAAGTATAAGATTTAATGAGAGGGGATTAAATGAGGTGGGAAGTAATAATTGATGTTACATTTTCAACTCTTACCATTAGAAATGGACTAAATACACAATTATGGGCATTTTAGTAGTCATTAAAGCTAGCATTAAAGCTGTAATAATAAAATGGCTTTTATACCCTTTCTCAAACAAAGAAGTAAAGGGTAAATTTAGTCCAAAAAATGGGAGTTAATAATTTAAGTATAAGACTTAGTGAGAGGGGATTAAATGAGGTGGGAAGTAATAATTGAAGTTACATTTTCAACACTTACCATTAGAGGTAGACTAAATACACAGTTATAGGCATTTTAGTCCAAAAAAAGTTTCACATTGCATTCACACTTATATATATATATATATATAACAAAGCCCTCAGGTTAGAGAATTTCTCCCTCAGACAAGTGGCATCTTATTTTCTAAAGAAAAAGCATCTAAAAATTGGTTATTCCCACTCTCAAACAAAAGCTTCATTCCTCGGACATGCATCTACCCACTCAAGTGGTACTTACCTCTACTCTCAAAAAAGTTAGTGGTAGTTACCTCCACTAAAAAGAAAAAACAAACAAAAGCTCATTTCAAATGATGTAGGATCCATAAAGTGAGCTATTATTTAGAAATAAAACATGATTTAATCTCTTAAATTAACTAACAAGTCTATACATAAAAAAATAAAAAAAAATAATAACTTAAACTTACAACACAAAAATGGGTGTTAAACAATTATAATACATAAATAAAAAAAAATCCGAGTATTGGCCCCATACTTAGTATTGGGGGTCATTCTCTAGTCATAGTATTATATTTAGTAGAGAGTTTGACAAAGATATAAGATATACCCACATTTTTAGCGACAAAGAGCACAACAAGCAAAGCAACACCAAGACATGCAGCAGCAATTCTTGCAGTAAGAAGATTTGTAGATGCCAGTATAAGAACCATTCCCCAAAATGATGAACCGAGGTCTGGATGCAAAACAGAATGCCATTTAATTTTAACCATTAACAAAATGAATATCCAATACTCAAAAGTATCAACTTAAATCTTAGATAGGTCCAACAAAGCTTGAATATGAGTTTTGCATAATTATGCATTACTGGAAATGGAATTCCAAGAAAGCTACTGAAATAGGATTTTAATAAGCCAATAAAAAGGTTAAGAGAATAAGAGTATTACATCCAGCAGGCAAAATTAACCAATATATACCACCACGTGTTTGTGTGACTCCACCTTCATTTGCATGAACCTGGATCCCCTCCACCTGCATATTTAAGCACAATGTCTTTATGTCAGATGCAAATCTAGAGTCAATACATAGAATTGTAAGCATATAGATGGGAGCATCCTAACAAAAAGTGGAACCCAATCACCAAAAACTGTGTATACCTGTACAAAAGCTGCATGAAAACCATAACTATGTTACTAATTGTTTCATAAATAAACATATAAATAACCAACCCTGAAATTATTTAGATATTTCACTGGGGCTAAGCTAACTGATAATGTTTTCTTTAACAGTCCATTAGATACAATAACAATTCGCATATTAGAAAAAAAAACCCTATAGTTTGCAATTACTTTACTTTAATTAACCTTCCATCAAGAACCGTTTGTATTTATGTCTTGGAATGGTCATGTAACCTCTTAAAATGATTGAGAAATATGAAAGAGCATGACTCAGGGGTTTTTCATTCCAAAAATATCCCTAAATGTTCTAATAGCACATGCACTCCAGGCCTTCTCTAGGCCAAGTAATAATGGGTGGGGGATTCTAAAAGGTTGATATGTTAACTACTAGGGGTGTAGGAGTTAATGTGAAATGCAAAAGATACTAAAGGTTGTGCAAGGGATTTCTGGGTCAGTATAAGTTCTCAATTTACACCCTCAGGATAAATCTGTATATCTATTGTTTTCTTAATAGGGTTATTTTGATTCCATGATTGGAATAGAAGATAGGGGCCTAAACAGGGTGGAATGACAGAAAATAACTCGTTTATCTGAAACAAATTATACTTCAGCTTTGATCATTGATTAATTGGATGAAAATACGCTCTTTTACAAAAGTCACTTGTGTAGTTGGCACATACCTTCAACTTAAAAGTGTTAAATAAAAATTGTACTATTGTAGTCAGTCTTTTATCATCATTTTAATAAAGCATTTGAAGATCCTGTATGCCTGTGGATCTATTTATTAGACATAAAAATTACCAAGGGAGATTGCATTAGTTCCCTTTCCTTTAAAATGATCTTGAAAAGGTTCAAATAGTGCCTTACTGTGTAATTGATCTTGTGAATCGTAAGGTGATACATTGTGAAGCTTGTTGAGTGACAATGTGAAGATTAAAGAGGTTTGAAGGTGTAACAGTTGCCCAATTTATGAATTCAAGTCCCCAAATCTAGGAAACTTCAGAAGTTTGATAAAACATATGGCTCCAATATTAGAGATCTCAACAGAGTTGAACAATTCAAATCTTAGAAATAATAGGAGTACCATTGGAAGACAGATGTAGATTTAAGAGCTAGCTACAGCTGTAGTAGTTATCTCAGAAGTGGCCTATGAACTCCTTAAGTAAGTTTAGATTTAAATAAATGAAATCATTTTACTTTTGCCCCTTCTATTGAGGTGTATGTTTCCCAGCTATGTTACTCAAACAGGTAAAAGTGAGGACACAAAAGTAAAACATAGTATCACTAGAATGGGAAGCAAAGTTGAGAAGCAAAACATAATGGGTAGTCAGGGTCAAAAGGTACTTGGGGAAACACAGAATTTAAGTGCACCCCTTTTTTTTAAAGGAAAAAGGGCCATTGCCCAATGTTGGCCCCGGCTATCTGGGGTCTTGGAGGGTTGGACTGACTATGGACCTAACCTTTGGCAAATTTTTTGTACAAAGTGGCTGCTCTTATACTCAAACCTACATTCTCACGCTTGTCAGCTTGAGATCTTTTTAATGGAAGATCACCAGAATTTCAATGGTTCATTCTTTCTTCTATCTCTTGTTTTTTCCATTTCCCCTCATTGTAAATGGAAACTTTTCTTTTAAGCATTTCCCATTTACCAGATAAAAGCTTTCTTTACTAATTATTCTCCCTTTTTTGTTTTACCATTATGTTTGTTCTTCATCTTTTCTTTTTCCTGTCATTCGAAATTGATTATTTCTTTTAGTTTCCTCTAAGTTTTAGGTACACCTGTGTTTCTATTGGAAGACCACTAAAACTTTATTGGTTCCTCCTGTCTTTTTTTACCTCTCCTGATTATTGTCAGTTTTGATGAGTTCTTGTTTATTTTCTCTTCCCTTTCATTATAAAAGGGAAATATTTGTTTTATTTATTTATTTCCCATTTCTTGAACATATCAAAACTTTATTTACTAATTATTCTCTTCTTCTTATCATCTTTTATGGTTCCTTTCTTTTTATTCAAATATTTTTCCTTTTCTTTCCAAAGCTTCTTTAGTTTTTATCTCTTGACATTTCAACATTGTGCCCCAATTACTTTCGAAAATGAACCACATATCCACATTACAAGTTTTTCCCGAGATTGAATTTTTAATGAAATTTATGTTCCCAAATCGTTTTCAAGTCACTTCTTGAAATTATTTCCCAAACAAATTTCCTTTGCTTCCAAATGCACTTTCTAGGAGGTTTCCTTCCACTCTAATGGTGGTTTTCTTGCAACTGTGGTTGGACATGGACATACTGAAGCCAACATACTCAAAACTGACATATTTGTTTATTTCAAATTACACATCAGTGTTTCCATTGTTCCTTTAATGCACATGATCAAACCATACCCATCAGCTTTATTCATATTTCAAGATACGATGGTTACCTCTTGGTTCCTAGGAATTTTGTTCATTTCTTGTTTATTCTTCCTACCTTTCAATTGAATCCCGGAAACATCCTCATCTTGCATTTGAATTACTTGACATTCTTCTACAGCAGCTTGGCTGGTCTTATGGCTTTATTTTTAAACTTTTACTTCAGTTTGGTTGTTATGAATTAGTCAAATAACACTTGGAGAGCACATTCTGAGATAATCCACCTAGCACTAATTCCCTGGGCTATGTCCCCTTTATCTTCTCTTTCTCCATATGGATCCTTTCTTTGTTATGAAAAAATGTTTCAAAGATTAGGCAAAATATGCTTTGCTCAATTCATTTAGGTTTTTCAATATCAAAAGAATGTACTTTGAATAAGAAATCAATATGAAATGGAAAAATGTCAAATAAGTAATCGTTGAAAGGAAGGGATGTAATTTCTTACTTGGCCACATGTTAGTTTACAAGCAATAGCATGACTTGCTTCGTGGAGAAAAACAGTGATGAGCTTGAAAGGTGTTAGCAGTATTGTTCTCCACAGCTACAAGGTTTAAACACAAACACAAACAAAATAAATGAACTATCGTATCAAACCATAAATAACTAGAGCATGGGTGAAAATTAAAAAATTTAAGAGAAGATGGATTGAACATCTGGAATTTCTCTTCCCTCTAACATGTAATGAGCTAAACCCACCACAACATATCGTTAGTGTACTCATTTTTCTAGCACTCGGCTCCATCCTAGAACACATACAGATTCCCAATACCACAACATCTAGTGTACTGATTTTTCTAGCACTCACTGTACTATATTATTTTTCTAATCTAATGAAATTTCACAGTTATTGATCAAAGAAAATTTGAAAAATTCCATATCCCAAAAGAAAGCCCCGTCAATGTGATAACAAAAGGGTTGGTCGAAATTAAATTAATTAATCAAAACCATTTATAGTTCTAGTAAAATTCTGTCTAAAAATCTACCTTACATACTCATACGCCTCCTACCCATACTCACCCAAAACCAACCGAAACACATAAAGGAATCTGGACAACAAGAAGAGTATCCGTGAACATTAAAGAGAAGAACAGAATCATACCAGAAGGATTACAACAGTAAAGATTCCTGTGATCGTTAGAAACATGACCTGGTCATGCTTGCAACAGTTTTTGAGCTCCCAGTTCGGCATCCCCGATGTGTATTCAAGATCCAAAAAGACCAAGCAAACGATTACTGGCGTAAGCGAATCAAAAGAATGGAAGAAAACGAATGATAATCAAATGAATATCTTATATCTGTGGTAGTGGATATTTGGTGAACAGAGAGAAAAAGGGTTGAAGTTTCCCTTCTCCCTCTCTCCAGTTCGCTGTCTGTCTGGATTTCGAGAGGAACCCGGTATGTTGGTCGAAATGTCTTTTTTTTTTCCTGCGTAGGTTGGTGGAAATGTTAAGCGCCAATTGCGTGTCGAGAATTTTTATATTGTTTTTGCTGGAAGTGTTAAAGAATTTCAAATTTTGAAATTTTCAATAATTTATTTTGTCGAACACAACTGCCGCAGCTAGCAGTAGCTGCATTTACCGAGCTCACAACGTCCAACAATACATCCTATCCGTGTATTTGCAAACATCATCGGAAGATGATTCCAATACATGATTGGGATGTGCTATGGGACGTTGTTGGGCGCCATTTGATCAACCATAACCCATCTAAAAGTCCTTTGACCTGGTCATACTCTGCTGACCAACGATGTTTGGCAACACGGCTTGGGTTGTAATTTTTCGCTTCAGATCGGGTCTTAGGGTGTGAACGATACTTAAAAATTTGATTTTGGATTCGAGATTCGATATATCCAAATCAAATTTTGAATAATTTGAATATCTAATGGATCGAATTTAGATATCATCTGATTTGATTTGATAAATATCTGAATTGGACCAATTATTTAATTCTTATATACAATATATAAAATATTTAAATGTTTGATATAATTTATATATAATAATTAAATTATATAAATAATTTATATACTTTATATAAATAAAATACTTATTAATTACCTAAAATAATTAATTGGTCAAATTCAAATTTGAATCGAATCAAATATTCAAATGTTTAATCGAATTTGAATTCAAACATTAATTTTCAATATCCATCAGATATTGAATTTTCTAATCGGATTCAGATTCAGGTATTATCTTATTCGATTTGAATTTGATTTGTTTACACCCTACTAGGTCTCGATTTAAAGCAATAAAGTCTTAGATTGCCTTAAAAAGTCCTAACCTCGAGTGAAGGAAACCGGAGGTGGAGGCCTGACCCTTTGTGCATCTAATATATGACATAAGGTTTACTAGTTGACTTGTTTAGTGAGCTTCTTTTCTTTTAAATGGCAAACTTTCACCCAGGATGAGACCCAAACCTAGCCATGTTTGTAACTATTTAGCTCGGGATGGGCTAGGGTTAGCTAAATCATGGTTAACCTCAAGCCTAGTAGGAATGGTAACGGGTGGGGTCGGGTTGGGTTTTGCATGCCCTGTTCTTGACCCTGAACTCAATTGCCTTGCCTTGTCTCCACCCCAAATCCCATTGGGTCTAAAAATCCTAATCCCATCCCTGTCCTCGTGGGGAATGGGGATATTCAAATTTGTCCCATCCTAGTCATTCCTATTTGCATGTTTATAAATTTATTTTATATATATATGGCTGGGGTGGACAAATACCATCCCTACCCTGTCCTCGATCCCTAGAATTTTGGGTTCCTCGAAACCTGCCCCAAATCTCGATTAGTGATCAAGAAACCCACCTCGACTAGGACGCATCAAATTTCCATCTCTAGGGCCTAGGCCGGGACAAGTCAATAGAGTTGAGCTTGGATACGCCTTAAACCCGTGCTTGCCCAAGTTGCACTCTTACCCTTGCTTACACTATGAGATGGAGAAAAGAATAGGTGGAGTTTGGGCTTCTCCAATAAGTGCTTATTCTCTTTCCAAACACAAATAAATACTTATTGGTGTGGTCCTAGTCCATAAGTGTTTATTTAAATAAGCACTTTTTAAGAACTCCTAAACTTAGCCTTACCCTTTTAAAAGGATTTCTTTACTTTTCAACTTTTAGGCCAACAAATGTTGGGGTATTTCTCATGGTTTACTCAATGTCACTCCTTGTCCAAAATAGTGAAGCACTTCAATTCCAACTACTATTCCATAATCTCTTACCTTATGTTTGGTGAGAGGGCTCCACATGAACATCCTATAACTTATGTTTGGTGAAAGACCCAGAAGTCCAAATTAGGATGTATTGGGTATTGGTTTTCAAGGGCACTACTCTATACTACTAGTAAAAGTGTGAATAAGAGTGTGGAACTTTTGTTTGACTAAAATACTTCAATTTTTTAATTTGGTCCCTCTTTCATTGTAAGGAGTAGGGACAAAAATGTAATTTGACCAACTACTTTTCTCTTTATTCAAATCCCTCTTAGTTAAGTCTCATATTTAAGGTATTAACTCCCATTAAATTCATTGAATCCTATTATTGACTAAAATACCCATATTTTTGAATTTGGTTTCTTTCTTGTTGTGAGGGCGCAAAATGTAATTAACTACTGGATTTCTCCTCATTCAATTCCCTCTCATTAAGTCTTATATTTATGGTATTAACTCCCATTCTTTTATTAACTCTTGTATTAATTGACCATATTAAAAAATAGGTGTGACTAAGAATACTTATTTATTTGTTTTTGTTGATGATAAAAGTAAAATACAAATTTAAATTCAATCGAAAAATGTAATTGTTTTACTCTTTGGTGGCAAGTCAACAATTCATCCTTTTGGGTCAAATGTGTAAACCCTTGCTGTCATAATTAAATAATCAAAATTAGGGTAAATTGTAGAAACCTTCCTGAAAGTTTTAGGTTGTTGCTTAAAACTCCCCTACAGTTTGGTTATTGCAATAACCTCCCCTAAACTTTTTGACATAGTTGCAAGAAGACTGCCTTTGTTAGAATCCTCTAAAAAGAGGCATGAAAATGTCCACAATACCCGTAAATGTAGTTACTTTTGACCAAAATGTTTATTTTCCAAATTTCCCTTTTATATGATTCACTAGCCCAAATCCTTCCAATCTCTTTTCTACAATTGATTTATTTTCCAAATTTTTCTTTCATATTAGTCGCTCAAAGGTAAAACTGCAACTTTAAATTCTGTATTTTTTTGTTGTTTATAAAGTTCACATTGTTTTTCTGTAGTAACCAACCTCAATAGTAATTGCTTAGTATTTTGGACATTTTAGTGCCTCTTGTTAGAGTATTCTAACAAAGAGGGTCTACTTGAAACTATGTCAAAAAGTTTAGGGGAGGTGGTTGCAATTACCAAACTTTAGGGGAACAAGGTTTTAAATGGCTAAAGGCGTAATGGCCCAAAAAGGCGAGGCATAAGCCTCAAAATTTAAGAAAATTTTAATTAAAGTTCATAAACAATAAAAATAATTATTTAAATGGGCATTAGAATTATTCAAATGCTTATAATTATTCAAATGGATATTAGATTTATGGTCATCTAACATTTGGGAAGAAAAGAAACAATTTAATTGATTTGATCTATGCAAAAAAATCAATACAAAGAAAAATAAATTCATTAGGAAAATAAAGTTTTTGCGATGTTAGATCAGAATATTAGAAAAAAATCCACTTGATCTATCCAAGAAAAACTAATAACTTGATTGGCCCTTTTTTTTGCATTGAACTCTCTTAGGCTAAAATACTAAGAGAAACTGATAGAAATTGATTTGCCCTTTGTTTTTTTGTTTTTATTCCTTTTATTTGGCCCATACTTATTGAAATGCTTTTTTCTATGTATGTTGAACTATAAAAAATGCATAAAATATGTATCTTTTGCATGAAATCACTAATTAGTGTTGATACTTGAGGCTTACGCCTTTTTATGCCTTGTGTTACACCTCATTTTGACAAAGGCTTAAGCCTCAAACCAAAGTTGTGAGGCTTAAGCCATGAAGCAAAATCTGTGTGCCTCACGCCTCAAGGCTTGAGCCTTTTAAAATAATACAGGTGGGGTTTCAGCAACGGTTATAAACTTTAGGGGAGGTTTCAGCAATTTATCCTAAAAATTAATAAAGATGAAAACACATAAAAGTATAAAAAATAAAAAAAATGTAGAAAATATTTGGACACATCTCTAACATCGTATATTCATCACATTAAACAACAATAAGTATGATAAATAAGATAATTTTTGTAGACATAAAAATATAATAAAATATAGAAAACTTTAGAAACATATTATTTACTATCATCATCATCATCATCAAAAATTGTAACATGCAAAGAGTGCACACACACACATTTACTAGTACAACAAATAAATGAAATTGGGCCTTTTGAATGCTTTTGGACATTAGGCTTTGCATTTGTACAGAACATAATTGTATTTACACTCGTCCCGAATGGATCATTAGTATTTAATGGGATAAATAGTATGTGAAGTAAAAAAAAGTTTAAAAATTAACTGTATTGATAAAAAACTCTATATTTTGTATATTGAAAGTATCAATACTTTGAACTTGTCTTCAGGTGAGGATCGTTTTAGTAGCTTCTTCAAAGCAGTTAAGTAAAAGCAGCTCAATCAAAGCTCCATTTCTTACAAATAGACTCTTACAGTTTTAGACACCAATATTGGTGAGTAGGGGGAGTTTGGGTTTTCTCCTCAGTGCACTCCTCACACCATCCTTACAGCACTTGGAGCCACACGTTTGGAACATCTAGATCTGTACTTATAAATTATCAATCGTAGGGAGATGTTCCCAATGAACGACTGCAATGTAGTGCAAGGTTGGTGTGAGACATGTTCTGTGAGGAATAAATCCGAATTTGAATTCGCTAGTGTGAGACATGCTCCTCGCTGACCCCTAAAATTTGTTGGTTTTCTATTATTTTTTCTTTCGAAAAAATAAAAACAGGAGCAATTCATAGCGATCTGATGTGGTCCTTGGTAAATTTACAAATTTTGTCAAGAGAGAGATTTTCTCTTCTCTCAACTCTCTATTTGTCTCTTATTTTATATCAAACCAAGCATAGCCTTAAGCCAAAAGCTGGGGTTTGAGGAAATCAAAACCAGATAGGGCGGCCCTCTAATTTGCCATGCTTCTTATATTCAAAAGATTAAGATCCATTTAGGGGCTGTTTGGCAATACAATAAGATTTAATCACCTGCCACTCACTACTGATATTGTAACAGAATTATTATGAGAGGCATTCTCGTTTTCATGGTTGGAGGAATCTCGGCTACTTGATTCAGAGATTTCTAAACTATTAACTCTGCTACCTTGGTATCCTAGCCTTACTGGAGTGGGTACTGATACAGACTGGTTTGAGAGCATGACCAGTGCAGATGACATAATTGGTCTTTCTCTTGTCCTCTGTTGACAGCATAACAGCCCCACCCTTATGCATCTCAATACTTCATCTTGAGGAAAAGAACCAATTGTCACATCTACCAAATCAATCAATTTTCCTTGTTGTTCTAGCCTCCATGTCTGCAATATATGTACCAACACCTTCATCAAAATGTATCTATATATACTCAGATTTATGGAATGAGATTTATTGGTTTTGTTACTTACAAGATTCAAAAGCACCTGCCTTTGTTCTTCCAATTGTGAATCATAGTTCCTTCTCCCACTTATAATTTCTAATATCAACACTCCAAAGCTATAGACGTCGCTCCAGGCTGACATAAAGCCTCGAGCTGCATATTCAGGAGCCATGTAGCCGCTGCAATTAAAATAAAAAGATTTCATCTAAACAAGTTATAATTAATGGGAGTATAGATAACGGCAACACAGAAATATAGGGAAAAGTGACATCTAAACGGGTGCATTTAGATTTGCTTTTGGAAGCAACTTTTGGTAGCCAAAATGGGCCAGGAAAAAGGTTCAAAAAGTATGCTTAGCTAGACATGCTAATAAGTTGTCTTTCTGAAAGCATACACAAATACTCCTTGTTTATATAAATGTCAATTAAAAAAAAAAAACAAAAGATACCCAATATTGTTTGCATATCAAAAAGGAAGATCTCATATTTACTTCCAGAAGTAAAAGTAAATTTCCATTACTATTTTTACTTTCAAAGCAAAATCTACTAATGCACCTTTGGTCCATTTGGTGTATTGGGCATACAACTGATGGACTCAATTCTATTTTTCTTGGTACTAATTTGATGATAACTTTGGATATACTTACAAGGTTCCAGCAATTCGTCGTGTTCTAAGTTGGCTTCGCTCATCAGGGAACAGCTTTGCTAGGCCAAAGTCTGATATCTTAGGATTCATGTGTTCATCTAATAATATGTTGCTTGCCTTGATGTCTCTATGTATGATTCTATACTGTGAATCTTCATGCAGATACAAAAGCCCCCTCGCAATTCCTATTATAATGTTGAAACGCTTTGGCCAATCTAATAGTGCACTCTTGCTCTTGTCTTTTAGTATACATAGAGGAAGAAGAGAAATGAGAAGTTAGGACTCACATTCACATATAAATGAAAACACATATTACAGTTTAATAAACAGAAGTTTCCACTCAGACTCAGTAATCTTATCTATACAGGAATTAAACTTACCAAAAAGGAAATGGTCGAGGCTCCTGTTGGATAGGTATTCATAGACCAATATCTTCTCTTGTCCTTGAATGCAACATCCAAACAACTTTACCAGGTTCCTATGCTGCATTTTCTGTAATAACCTCACTTCATTTGTGAACTCTTCTGTTCCTTGTGCTGAACCGACAGTGAGCTTCTTCACTGCTATTTTTTCTCCATTGGGCATTTTCCCCTGAAACATGAAGGAGCTCCATATATCACGAAATAGCACTTTATAAACTAATCCGAGCTTTGAAATGATAAGATCAAATAGTTAATATTTTCTTTATTGCTTAATCTTTACAGGGAATATGCTTGTAACCTTACACCTTTCAGTGTTAATTTCAAAGCTAATATCCCAAGTGGGTAAGGAGGAATGCAAATTTTTATGTCTAATTAAGATGCTCGACACCTTTGGATAAATGTTAAAAAACCGTTTCTATATTTACAAAATTATACCTAGCTACCTAGTGTATTTTTTATTATTTTTAGTGGGCTTTCAAGAGAAAATATTTTTATTGAAAACTCGTTATCTGTAGCAGAAGAGAGACGATCCAATGAAAATGTGCTCATTAAAACTGTGTTTGGTTTGAAGGAAAAAGTAGGGATAGGAAGAGAAAGGTAAGGAAACCTATACAAGTTTTGTAAAGGTTTTCTTACTTTTCCCTTCCCCTACTTTTTCCTTCAAACCAAACATAGCCTAAGTAAGCAAATGATAACTCTACCGTCTTTATCACTCATTGGCTCCAAGACAGAAAAAAAAAAAATGATCCAGTAAGTTCTTGGGTTTGGGGAAGGGTGCAACCGTGCAACTTGGGTCGCCCAACCCAAGCTCAGACCGACCCAGCATGCAAATTTACATGGGCTGGGCTGGGCTGGGCTGGGCTTGGACTTTCGATCTTAAGGCAGGAGTTAGGCCCAAACCTCAGACTTTATTATTTTTTGGGCTGGGTCCTGACCTAACCTTTAGGTAGCCCAAACTCGGTTTGAGCCCAATTCAACCTTACCCCAACCAAGATCTGGCCTGACTATACAAATATATACATATATACATACACATAAGCATGTATACATGCATGAAAAATATACCAAATTCCTATTTAATGGTTTAAATCAATGATACAAGCAAAGCCCATGGATGGTTATGGTTGGTTTGGAACCAACCAAAGCCCAAGTCCAATTTATGTCAAATTTCAATTCGGGCAGAGACTGGATTGGATAGATTGGGCTTGAACTCGAGCTTGGCCCCTTAGGCCCAATTCTTAGGATTGGACATTGATAGACCTTAAACCCAGCTAGCATAGGTGGGTGTAGGCCCGCTATAACTTGCCATCTCTCTCTCCCCCCCCCCCCCCACACACACACACATGTTCTAATAACCTAAATAATCTAATATCCTAAAATTTCTCCTAAACAACTTTCCCACTATCCCCAACTTTCTCCAAGTTATGTCTAATTTAATAGAGTTTCTCTCCTAAATTATCTCAAATTCTTCTTTATCCTCTCCCCCACTTTTTATCTACATATATCTAAAGATAGTTTGAAATTTATGAATTATTTAAATATTCTAACAAAATTATATAGTAATTTTAAAATATTTATTAAAAAGACAAAAATAATTATAATCAATTTAATAATATTTATTAAAAAGACAAAAATAATTATAATCAATTTAATAATATTCGTATTATTAATAATTATATATTTTTACAAAGTTCATCACGAAATTATGTACAAACAATATAAATAGTGATTTTCTGGATTATTCAATCTAAATGTTATTCAAATAATAAAAATCTAATATTAAAAATGAAATATTATTTAAATATTTCAATAATTAAATATCTTAAATAACAAAATATTAAAATTAATATTTTTAATCAATTAATAATATATTTTAAATAGTTACTGAATAATTTTTAGTAATAATAAATAGATTAAGATTTTAAATATTTTGTTAAATAACTAAATATTTTAAATAACAAAATATTTAACATAACTAGATTTTAAATAGTTAAAATAACAAAATCATGTATTAATAGTACTATAATTTTATGGATTATAAAATTCAACAAGTAATTAATATTTAAAATTTAAATAATGATATTATTTCAATAAATAAATAATATTGTAAATAACTAATTTCATTTATACCAATTAATAATTCTAGAAAATAACTTTCAAAAAAGTTATTGTTTATTAATAACAATTTTAAAAACTTAATCTTTATTTATTATATATTTATCTATACTAAAATTAATATTTATTGTATTTAAATAATTATTTATTGTTTTTTGATAAATATATTTTCAATAATTATATATAAATCTATTTTTTTTTATTTAATTGAAAATTTTCAATAATTATTGGAGTTTAAACTGCTATTGTTTAGCTTTTTAAATTTAATTTATTGTGTATTTTCGCTATAAATGTTTAATAGTTATTGGAGATTAAACTACTATTCACGAGTTGGTTCGGCTTAGTTGTAGGTTGTTTGGCTAACCAAATCGACCTGGTTAGGTTGAGGGTTGATCACTTAGGTTATATTGGTTTAGGTCAAATTTCGGTTTGGTCAGTTGGTTCAAAAGATTTAAACTTAAAAAATTAAATTTAAAAATTAAGTTTAAATTAAAAAAAATACAATGGCAATATTAAAAATTAAATTTATGATATAAACTAATTTTGCCTAAGAAACATTATTATTTTCCCACTTTCCCATATTAAAAAATATATTTAAAATATAAAATATTAATATATATCTATGGTCGGGTCGTTTGATTTTAGTCAGTTTACAAATGGCTAAAGCAAAACTAATCCAACCCAATCGAGTAGGGAAATTGTTGAACCAAAGTCGATTGGAAATACTAGAAATCAGGTTGGTTAGTTCATTAGTTTGATTCAAAATGGCAACGGGGCGGGGTAGGGTTAAGGAGCCTCTCCCCACCCCATCCATGTGAAAATCCCCATCCCCGCTAACAAGGACAAAGTTATCCTCATTCCCGTGGGGATCCACACTCCTTGTGATTCCTTATAATGTCAACTATTATATTTTTGTTTTTATTTTATTTAAAATATAAAAATAAAATAATTAAAATTTACAATCCTATTAGAAAAGATTCATACATATTCAACAATATTTTTAAAAATATTAACATATAGATATATGTGTACATATATACATTTATAAACATATGTGTATATATACATATATATTAGCGGGGATCGGGTCCACGCGGGGCAGGGAGTGCTCTCCTAATCCCCACACCATCCCTGCCAATGTGGATGAAAATTTCCGCTTCTCCGTCCCGCAGGAGAAAATCATCCCCACCCCCACCCCATTTGGGGCAGATTCCCACGAGGATTGGGGAAATGGAAAAAAATTGTTATCCCTAAGTTTGATAAAAACCCTATCTAACTCTGATTATTATTGATAAAAAATGTGTTGACAATCACCCCAAGTGGCCCAAGTGGAATGAAATGTTACATTATTATTGATAAAAAAAAATGTGTTGACAAATAAAATAGTCAGGAGACCTGATTATCTGCACTTGATTGCTGTGTTAGGGCAGTGGCCTTAAATATTTGATGTCATGGTATAACTATTATTGGGGCATATACAGTACTTGATGGTGGTATAACTACTATTTGTATTTGGTGAATGTAACAGCCCTAACACAACCATCAAGTGTATATGCCCCACAATGGTGGTTATACCATAATATATCTAATAATTTAAAGCCACAGACAGGTTCATAGAATGTAAATTAGTCAATGACAGTTCTATTGAGGCCAACATGTAATGAGATATTTATCACAGACTGAATGAAAGTTCAGCAAGAAGAAAAGAAGAAAAAAATGAGGTGAAGCAGATCCGGGCTTCAATTAGAACTAACTGCATGTGTAGTAGTTACTACCAGGTGGAAAGAATAAACTAAATGGAAGCCAGGATTTTACCTTATAAACAGTGCCGAAACCACCACATCCAAGCCGATTTGCAGTGGAGAAATTATCAGTGGCAGCCATCAATGTCTCCAAATCATACAAAAAACTTCTTGTCCCAACACTCTCTGTCACCGTCTCTCCTACCTCATCATCTTCCATCCTACTCCCACTTCTCTTCACTTTCTTCTTCCCCTTCATAACCATCCACGAGCATCCAACCGTCAAAATCACTGTCCCAGATGCTGCACCCGATATCCCAATCACCATGCCGCGTCCTCCCCCACCATTCCTCTTAACACGGGTAAGATCAGTTTGAATATCCGATTCTGGTGCCCAAGTTGGCGGTGGTGGCAGCGGTGGTTCTGCCAGAATTTCCGGCACTGCAGCAGTAGTGTTGTCAAAGAAACCGGGGTCCATGCTGAATTGAACAGAACAACTTGGAGTAGCGACCCAGGCTGCCCACTGCCCCATACAACAGTTCTCAATTCCAATCCTAGCATTCGACAAGCATCTGGAGCAATTGTCGGCACTGAGGTCCCGGGTGCACTCTACGTACCCATAAAGTATCCTGTTATCAGGTACTCTGGTCCACCCCACTGCGTGTAGCGTCTGGGATTCGCCTGCCATGTTCGACAGGTTTCGCATTAACATCCTTACACTTTGATCGTAAACATCTTGGTTGGAGACCTCCATAGTGTTCCATATCGACAGAACGACGGAAACATCGGCCCTGGATAGGAAGTTAACGTCGGCGTATCGGAGCATGCAGTCGTTGTACCATATCTGGGCAAACCTTTTCATGGGGCAATTTTTCTGGCGAATGTCAACTACGGCAGCGTCTATGCAAACTCGGCAGCCTGCTTGGGTTGTGTCCGCGCGGCAAAGAGCAAGTGCGGTGACTGATTCAGTCCCGTTGCCTACGATGGTGGCATTGAAGCCGGTGGGGGCAGTGGAGTTGCTAAGAGCGTCAAGTGCTTGGCCAAGGTTGGCCGCGAAGGTCGAGTTAGCGGTGTAGTTAGTGGCGCCATCGCAGTCATCCCACCGAGGTAATTCGTAGGCAAGGGCAGCTGGGTTGAGGGAAAGGAAGAGGAAGGAAGAAATCAAACTGAGGAAAGAAAGATGAGTCATTTGTGAGGGTGATATGAAAGAAGAAAGGGTTATCCCACTGCAGACTGCACTATACACATGTAGCCATGGAATTAAGATATTTGTATTCAACCATATATATATTTGTATATGGTATAATAAGCTAAGTTGGAGGCTTTTTTTATTTGGTTTCTGGATTCGACGACTGCCTTAAAAAAGTCAAGATGGTCAAATAATGGATCCTCTGACTCCATCTTGCTTGGGGGCGTTTGATCTCAAATTTTAGGTGGTCGTACCAGGAAGTTTGAATCAGGCAGAATTGACAAACAGGGGATTGATTCATTTATCTGGGCCCAATCTCATTTCATCCATTTGAAAAGACAAAACCTACCCTCACCAACACTTGTACAATAAACAAAAAATAAGGTGGTGTTGGGTTATTTTCGTCTTCTGAGAAAAAAAAATAAGAACTGAGTAGTTGTGTGAAGTGTGAAATCACCAAGCTTTTATTGAAATGGGTACAAAATTTATAGACTTGACTGGGTGCTTCACTTCCAACACAAACATCCCAACGAGGAATTTCGCCGCCGCCGCTGCAACCATCGCCGCCCTATATATACTGTATGTGTAGTCAAGAAGAGATCTTCTTACTAAGCCATACTACTATAAATTGCTTTGTTTGAATTTCTTCGCTTACTGCACAATTTGATTTTTTGGATGTGCAAAGTCAGAGCATCTTTTGTGGAACGTATTAGAATCAGGACAGAATTCGCTTTTTGAATTCTGTGATTGTCTCAATTTCATCGTTTAGGTTCATTTCAGCACGATGCAAGAATTTGACAAAACACAGAATTTTAACATTCGAATCAAGTTTCCCCAACTAACAAGAGCTTCAGCTCATTGTGTTTGTGCCTTTCCATTGAATCTCTCTCTCTCTCTCTCTCACCACGAAGAAGAATAATCACTCTCTTACCTCTAGTTGTTGACAAAGTTGATGGATATGAGATGGTTAATATAAAAGAGAGGTGACTACCGAAAAAGGAAAAATTGAAAATAACAATCTATCTGGCGACTTGCATCGCAGCATTCCAACCGGCACTCTTCATGGGGCAAGTGTAAGCCAAATAACCCTTTGCCAAGTGGCAATAAGAGTCGCACTATTCTATGCGGCAGGTGTAAGCCCAGTGATCTGCTTAATTATTGGTTGGGTCGTTACTCGCTAGTGTGCCCATGTTTTTATCAGGAGATTGCAAGATTTTGCTGTCACGATGGTTACTTACAGCAGATGCAGGTGTCATCTGTTAAGAAATAAAAATGTTCATAATCATGTTAGGTTGTATTATAGGGTGATAGAAAACGAAATTTCACTGCACAACTACGTTAACAGGCCCTGAATCACAGAATGTTCACCTTGTACTCAGCCAGTAGAATTATTCATCCAACCCAGCTAGTATTCTGTCACACTTGACCCAAAGCATGAGAAGAAACCTTCATTCCTACTGTTACCCTGACCAGTTTTAGTGGATTAGTCAACTTATTGATCAGCAAAATAGATGCGGGAATAGATGTACAATCCCAGCTTTCTTTGACAATGAGATGACTAACCTAAACCTTTAGCATGGAAATTCATAGAGCTGGAAGTAGGGATAGGTTAATAATTGGCGGCCAGATATAAAAGGTAGGCTCTCTGTGAAGTCAGCCTACCTAATAGCTCATCAGTGGTGTTATGACTTATGGCCCTGCAAATGACTGGGAGTCTGAGATCAATTCAACTCATCAAAAAAACCATGAAAGATAACCTGGGCTCTAAATATTCCTCCAAAAATAAAGAATTTTATCTGGAAATGCTGTTGCAATGGAATTGCTGGTTAAGGTAAATCTTGCTCGGATTGGTGTGAATGTTAGTGAATTATGCTCACTTTGTCAGGGGGTTGCTGGTTTTTTTTTTTCTTTTTTCGATTGGTGGAACTCGTGGTTTGATTTTCATGAGAACAGTAATGACAAAGAATAAAAGATATCTCAATCCTTGAATACATTGCCGCTATGTTTTTGTCAATATGCAAAGTTAGAAATGATCGTACTTTTAATGAAGTGCAGCCAAATCCAAATCTATTTGTTGTGCATGTGAGGATGACGGAAGTGAAGAAAGTTTTGTTTCATTCTTTTCACTTTGGAGATGAATTTCGTACCCTTTTGCGAGGCTGAGGCAGCTTTGGACCTTATAACGCAACCTCTTTTGAATATGCTGAATGTTATGCAATTCGTGAATGCTACATTTTGGCTCAGGACATGGATTTCTGAAATCTGATAGTAGGAGACTGCAAAACCATAATAAAAGCTATTTGCAGCAAATCATTTGAATGTGCAAAGGATGCTTGATCTGTTCTGAATGACATTTTCTGTTTATCAAATAGCAATATGAATTTTAATTTCATTGGTAGAGATGGTAAACAAGGTTGCCTATGAATTAGCCAAGAAGGGTTTTGGGGGGGGGGGGGGGGGCAGCGTAGTCTATTAGACACCCCCAAGTTGGTTAATGGTTTTGCTCGGGGCTGATGTGAAGGTTAGGCTGCAGAGGATAGCAGGAACCTGGATCCCTCCTTAATTCTTTTGTGGATGTGGCTTTTTTTAATTTTAGTTTGGTGTATTGCTTGTTTGTTTGTGTGGATGTTCTGATTTGGATTGCTTTTTTTTTTTGTGTTGGATTTCTGTCCTGTGTTGGTTTTGTTTGTTCTTTGTTGTGTCTTGGCGGTGTGTATCCTAGTTGGTTTTCCTTGTAGTGAAAGTTCTGATATTAAAGTGTGCCCTCAGGTCTTTACTCACTGCTCCAAATACATGCTCTTTTAGTAATTTCTCAATGCTTTATTAATCCAATGGCTTCATTCTGCTTGTTTAATTAGTTGAAGTTTTGTCACCAACAAATAATAGTAATTCTAGCTCAATGCCTGCAATATGATATCCATTTTTATGTCCACAAACTTATGATCTTCCTGATAATTCACCATGGCATATAGGGCTGCCACAAAACTGACCAGAAGCCTGAATCTCGATATGTTTCAAAGCAACGCTTCCACTTTTAATGTACAACTGTACTGCCAATTAAATTCTGCTTACAAATAAATAAAATGAATTAGACCTTTACATACACAGCTCTGATGAATGCTATACGGAAGAATATTATATCTGGTTGTCATCTACCTTCATCAACAAAAGAAACAGAGATGGAGTTTCTAGAACAATCTTCAACCATAGTACTAGTTGTTGAAAGCTTATTTGTACCAGTGGTGCTATCAGTAGCATTTGTAGCAGTGAGAGCAGAAGAAGTCGTAGTCCAACGTCCTACACGACCTTGAATCCCTGGTTTCCCAGGTTTTGGTAATGTAAATGAGTCGCTTGAGAGCATGAGATGAACGGAATTCATGTCAGGTCTATCTGCAACATTTGCTTGGCAACACAATAAGCCTATCTGAATGCACAAAGCAGCCTCATCTGGATTGCAATTGGAAAGAGTAGGATCAACTAGGTCCAATGTCCTCTTTTGTTGAAAGAGGTTCCATGTCTGCACAAGGAAGAAGGGAAAGGCAAGTGCATGATATACCTTGGTGCTTTGTAGAAATAAATTCAGTCACTAGTCCTAGGTAATCAACATTTGAAGTGATGATAAACTAAGGGTAATTTAGTCACTTTAGAATATTTTGTTTTTTAATCATTGTGAATAAATTGTCATAGTGATCATAATATACCTATCATGGTATAGCATTCTATTCATAGTTTCATGTAAATTTAATTTCCTCCAACTGATGAATATGCCCATTGGTCCATATTTTAAAACCAATTGAATAAATCCTGGATGGTCCAAAACCCAAATGTATACTCATTGGGAAATCTTGAACTTTTGTAAGTCAACAGTCAGGTTTCTCGTTATTTTAGAATGACTTTTCTAATATAGTTATTATTAATAATGTGGATCTTCATATGACAAAAAGGTAATTTTAGTCCAGCCATGGCTCATAAAAAAGGTGGGTGTCAATTACCAGTTTGGATTAAGAGTAATAAAATTAAATGAAACTGTAATAAAAATATATATAAGAACTAAAGTGTAATTCTATTATAAACTCAGCAGGCATCATACAACTTACATAGCTCAATAAGTCTGCTTTTTCATCATTCAACTTCTGAACATGATTCTTTCTCCCACTAACAATCTCTAACACCAAAATCCCAAAGCTAAAGACATCGGTTTTCACGGATAGGTACCCATGTATTGCATACTCAGGCGCCATATAGCCACTAGATTCAACAGAAGGAAATGCTTAGTTTCAAAACAAAGTAGAGAGAGAGAGAGAGAGAGAGAGAGAGAGAGTTGTGGCAAAAAGGTTTAGGAAATAAACTACTCACTGAGTACCAGAAATCCTGAATGTGTTTACATGAGTGTCATCCCCCGGAAAAAGCCTTGCAAGGCCAAAGTCTGAGATCTTCGGGTTCATCCTCCCATCAAGCAATATGTTACTAGCTTTGATGTCTCTATGGATAATCCTTTCTGGAGCCTCTTCATGTAGGTACAGAAGACCTCTTGTAATACCAGTAATTATCTCAAAGCGTTTTGACCAATCCAAGGATGCAGATTTGGTCTTATCTAGATAATTCAAGCCACATTAACTACCCAGTGAGATTCTTTTGGATTAGCTTTCAAATCTACCAAATGATCTGGTTATGTGTCTAGTTAAATCTATGTAAATAAACTACAGATATGAGATAACAAGAAATGTACTAAGAATAGTTTTGTACCAAAGAGGAAGTTGTCAAGGCTCTTATTGGGCAGATACTCATAGATGAGCATCTTCTCCGGTCCTTCTGCACAGCATCCTAACAATGTGACCAAGTTCTTGTGCTGAATTTTTATTAACAATTTCACTTCATTCATGAATTCTCTCAGTCCCTGTCTTGAATTTAACGCTAGCTTCTTTACAGCTACTTCTTGGCCACTTGGCAATAACCCCTGTAGGAAAACAAACACCACATCTATATTAAACTCCAGGCAGTTGGCAGTGAAAACAAAATGTTATGAACTTGGGGGTAATTCAGCAAACAAATAACATGAAGGGGGAATAGTCCACAGCCTTTCTTGAAAGTTAGCATCCCTTTTTTTTAGAAAGTTAACATCTACATAAGGTAGGTGGTTATAGCTGTTATAATTCTGTGCTATTTCAATTGAGGGGTCATTGTTATATTATAACAATTAAAATATGAGGATGTGCTAGTGGCCCTAGTATACTGGTGGAAAGGGTATTCTAACCTTCCTAGGAGACAAAAGCGTATCTCTGATCTTTTGCAGTCTGTTGGGTTGTGAGATACCAGAAGAAAAGAAATGGAAAGAAAAATTTTCTTTTACAAGAGAGTGGAGCCACTTCTGTTTTTTTTTTTTTTTTTTGACAAAAGGTAAGGTAAAGTAATTCATTATATAAAGTAAAAACCTGTACAACTTGAGGCTGTGCACTGGAAATATACAATCAAAATATAAATCCCTATAAAATAATCCCCTGACTGTTTACAAAAAGATTTTCATACACAAAAATAAATAGGGTAAATTACAGATAGGTACCCTGCACTTTGAGGGTAGTGACAGATAGGTACACTGAACTTTCAATTGCAACACATGAGTACCCTGAACTCTCAAAAATAGACACTTGGGTCCATCTGTTAGTATTCCATCAGTTAAACATTACATAATGACAAAAATACCCTACTCGTGTATTTTTGAGATCATTCTACGGAGTAAAATCATCACCAGAGAATGTTGTTGTCAGAAAATTTGAATTTATTATTTGCTGTCCGTGTGAGAACGTCATCATGGGGAGACGTTAGGTTACCTGAGAATGATCTCAGAAATACACGAGAAGGTATTTTTGGCATTATATGTTTTTTTTTTTTGATCAATTTTGGCATTATATGTTTAACTGACGGAATACTAATGGATGGAACCAAGTGTCTATTTTTAAGAGTTTAGGGTACTAAGTGTTGCAATTAAAAGTTCGGGGTACCTATCTGTCACTACCCCCAATGTACAGGGTACCCCTAATCCCCTATCTGTAATTTACCAAATAAATATTGTAGCTCTTCCCTTTAAACAGCTTGTGAATAACCAACCATGAATGCAATTTTCCCACCATCTTCTGAAAAACAGAGTCTACTGAGCAGATCTTGTTCTGGAAACTCTTGCATTTCTTTGCTGCCATAATACCTAAAACACCAGCTACAAGCACCATGCTCCAAGCAATCCTACCTCTTGTTCTTAGGCCTTCCAACATCCAGCATTTTATAAAGCCCACCACAGAAGCGGGACAGTAGCCTTTAACTTGCAAACACACCTAAAATCCTGCTCCAAATAGAGTATGAAAAGTTGCATGGAGGCAGTAAATGGTCTACTGACTCCATACAGCACGCAGAAAAATCCTTCTCTTCAACAAGTTGTCTCTAGTGAGAGTTTTATTCAGATGCACTCCAAACTAAAAAAGCCACTTTAGATAGTATGTTCTTGCACCAAACTTTGCTGGCAGGAAAATATTAATCATCCAAATTGACCAAATAGTGTTATAAAATGATCTGAAAGAGAACTTGCCTGATTTCTACCATGTCCACCTTTCATCTCCGTTAGATTTGATCTGTAAACTGTTCAACCTCTGCAGCAGATCTAACATGAGACCTACTTCCTAACTAATTAAGTTTCTATAATTGTGGTACCCACATAATACTTCCATTCTGTACTTGCATACAACCAGCCACATTTACCTCTTTGTCCACTTCTCTCACTCCCACTTCTCCTCTTCTTTCTGTGAGAAGCTACTTTTTTAGATTTTCCTTCCATTTTTTTTTCACAATCAAACGCAATGTTGTGAATAATGTCAAAGAACCAAAAAAGAAATATGTCACCATCTTAATCACTGGGAAAAAAAAACATGTTCACTTCTCAGTTATGCAACATCTAGCAATGCCACCGTAGAAAAGGGCAATACCTTTTAATCATCATTAAATTATTTATTGTACTTCTAGTTCTTTTTCATGTTGAAAATATTTCTTAAAAACTGAGGAATTCAACCTTTCATGAAAAAGCTTAAAATGAGGTAATTGCATCAGTGTCTAATACACTTTAAGGAACAGCTTGAGTGGAATGGAGAAATATGATTCATCTATCCAACTTTGTATATACGCTGGGGTTAGGCCTTGTAGTAGGAGGACCAGGCCGCCACTTGGTTATTTAGTGAAGAATTTGAAATGTAGGAGATCTGGACTGCCCAAAAGGGCCTCAGATGTTCCTCTTGGCGGCATTTACTTGTGGCCTTGTGGGGCACATTTTTCTTGAAAATCCCATAGCACATGAGAAAATAAGCCTTCTTTCAAGCATTTTGTTTAACTCAATATTGTAAGACAGATCATGCATATAACCAAAATGCTCACTGGGTCATGGGTTTACTGTTAGCCAGGCTGTTAAGCTTTCAAATTGTGAAAACCATCTCAGGTCACCTCTTCAGTGTTCACCAGTTAACCGTCTGGTGTGGTCTGAGTCTTACAATTGGTTAAAATTATTGGAACTTTAAAGGTTCAACTTAGAAAAAACTCGACTAGGGTTTTTCACCATTAAAAATAGGGGGAAAACCCTCAACAGAGGTGATGAATAGGGCTAAATGTTGACTGGGGAGCTAACAAGTGACTGACTACTCCAAAGCAGCAATGATAGAATAGACAGTTTGGATTGGTCACCCCATCAATACATGTCTCTCTGGAATATGGTAAGATGTATAGTGAAGGTCCCTATTTTTTTTTCTTGATAAGTAAAATAAAAATTTTATTAAAAATAAAAGAAGCTACAAAATAGGGTGACAAGTCATCACCCAAATACATAGACCAACTCAGATTAAAGAACAAGCTCCGCATTACAAATCTGATAATCCAGGATCTCTCCTAACCTATTTCCAAAATCCTCCTTTTCTAACTGACTGAATTCTGGAAGAATCAGCAACCATTCTAACACTGATCTGCCCACAGCCGCGACCATCTTGTCCATGCTGCAGGCTTTGTCTTCATAAGTCCTTCTGCTCCTCTCCTTCCAAATGTTCCAGCAAATTGCAAATGGGATACAGCTCCATACACCCTGACAAATCCACTGTATCCAGCTCGGCCCACTCTCCTCCGTTTGACCCCCAAATTCATTCTTCAACCTCAGATCAAAAGACTCCAACTTTGTTTCTTGCAGTAGTACACCATCCAGATTGTATTTTCTCAAAAGATTTTTAACCACTTCTCTCCTCTTCCCATCTCTCAGTCCCCTTACGTTCCATGATAAAAGCTTCACTTTCCGCAACTTCCTCCCCCCTCCAACAGCCCTTCTATTCCTCTTCCGTCGAACCTACTAATTTCCCATCTCCCTCTTCCCCTCCTTCAGAAATTCCCCAGGCAGCCTTTTTTTCTTGCTCCTCCCTTCTAGACCTTTCATACTGATCAAAAGCCCTTCTCACCACCTTTTCTCCTCCCAGGAAAAACAGACCCAAGGATTTGCCTACCTCAATCTGTCTTTCAGCCAACTCTTCTATGCCCACCTTCCTCCTCCCCACTGCTGACTCCTGCCTTTCTTCCACCTCTTCGTTTTCTTCCTGATTGCATTCTGCATCACCTCTTGAATCCTTCTCCCCTGTTTCACCCTTTCCTGACTTGTCCTCCCCACTCTTCTTTTTTTTTTTCGTCCTGCTATAGACTTTATTTTTCTCCTTCACCCCTCTTTCTTTTTGTGCCAGATGAGCACTTCGGTGGATCAGGAGGTTTGGTTAGTGCATCCTCCTCCTTGGCTGTTATACTCTTTTTGCAATATCATCTCTTTGACTGCTTAATATGGTATATTTATCCCTAAAAAAGGTTCCCACATGTTCGTTTTGCTTGCCTTTATTTACAAGAAAATTTCAGCTCGAAAGCACAAGCTACATGTCCATAAAAAATTTTATATAAAAAATTATGAGAATCATTTTCCTAAATAGGTTAGATCTCAACTACCCAATTAGATTAAAAAAACACTTGATCTTCATTAGTCAAGGAGGATGCCCTCCTCCATTTCTAGCAAGGAAAAGATGTTTTTAATATTAGCTAAATGTTTGTAGCCAAAAAAAAAAAAAAGAGCTAAATGATTTTTATGTGGCAGCAACAGAGCTTAAACAGTGCTGAGCTCTGTCTTTAGTGTTTACCATGTTACACTAACCAATAACATCAACAAAGAAGAAACATGAAAATACGTCGATAAATAGATATAAGAATAATTATATCCGTGGAAGACACGCACCAAAGAGACGCATCCACTACTTCAATGAAGGGTCTTAATTCGGCTCTTTTAACCGGCCGGCGAGTTGCTGGCGGGCAGGACCACTACAAGGGGCATGGAGCTGTCAAGTAGATTCCAAGTTGACGATAAAAAAAAATTGATTTCACTGGGCTTTCTAGGAGAAAAGGGAATCGGCTTAACCGTTGGATTTACTAAAGAGGGAAATTGGTCTTATACAAATCAGGTTTTTAACAGTTTCAAACGGGGCCTCACCTCATTGAGAAAACCAACCATGTTATTTCCACCGAAGCACATTGCTCACTTCTCATACAATTGCAACCGTTAATTGAAAAGCGCAAGGTGATGAACTTTGTAATTCGTAATTCTGACCAATTTCAGGTCTATTTTAACTGATGCTACCTTCCAGTTCATCAGAAAGCAATTGGCCAGTTGAGAAAGAGCAAGGAGCAAAGACAGAAGAATTCTAAATTTCAAATTTCTATATGCTTGGTTTGAAGGAAAAGGTAGGGAAAAAGAAGGGAAACATAGGAAAACCTATACAAAGTTTGTAAAGGTTTCCCTATATTTTCCTTCCTTTCCCTACCTTTTCCTTCAAAACAAACACAGCCTAAAGGGAGAATCAACAGAATCTCCTTCCCAGTTCCCCCCTTTTTCTACTTTACCTCAAATTAAGCCTTAAAAAGAGTAGCAAATACGAAACTTACCTTGAAAACGGAGCCAAATCCACCGTGACCGAGCTGATTCAAGTCGGAGAAGAAATTGGTGGCAACTTGCAAGCTCCGAAGCTCGAAAATAAGGCCGGATGAATCTCTGTAATCGTCTGGTTCTTCTCCTCCCTCAGCGCCCTTCTCTCTCTTCCTCTTCAAACACCCACAGAAGATGTCGAGAAACTCCATCAATCGAACCTAGCGCTTAGAGATACGAACCATTTGAATCCACCTTTCCCTGATCGAACGGCTCCTGAAGCGAGAGAACAACAACAGGCGAACAAGAGAGCCGAAATCTCAATTTATACCTCCTACCAGCGAAAAAAGACAGCTCTGTCTGAAGCTGCCTGGTTGGTCAAAGCGAAGCTTGATAATTTCAAATAAATTGTTGAGTATTATTTGGCCATTTTTCACCAATGAGTTATTACTTATTAGAATTTTGCAATCATAGATGCTTTTACAAGTGTCCATGCAGATGCATTTACTTTATCGGTAAAAATCCTCACATTAAAAGACAGATATGCCCAGATCTGGATACGCGTAAAAGCAGGGAGTATATAATTCTAACTCTCGGCGTCGTAGCAAGAGTAGTGGCACAAGCATTCCTCCAAATTCCAAAATCTAATAGAGAACTTCGAACAGATTATGGAAATTGAAAATTGGAAACCAAACCAAGTCAATCCCGTGTCCTGACTTATGATCTCGGCGTCTCTCGGTAGAAAAAGCGGACTTGGTAGTTAGATTAGATCTAAGGTGTCGGCGTTAACATGGAAAAGATTCTCCTGCGTGCGTAAAAAAGGAGACCTGGTGCAAAATGCAAATCAGTATTTTGATCCACTTGACCCGTCCAGGGTTGACGATCCAAGTAGATCAAAGTGGTTGATTTTTAGGGGTTTTTACTGTTCAGTCAACCCTCACAAATCTTACCTCCATCTAGATCTGTTCATGGGACGGGTAGCCCGATGGCCCAGCCCGCATTCCGATTGGGCTTGGTCATGTAATTAGGCCCGTAGGCCTGACCTCGGGCCTGACACAGTAAGACCGACTGTGTTTTGGGTCGGGTTCGAGATTTGTCAAAAAATCCTAACCCAATTCAGTATTATATATTTTATAAAATATATAAATAATATAATACTTATTGAAATATATATTTATAATTTAATATGTACATTTTTTATTCTTTTCTTTATAATTTCTCTCTCTTTCTCTCTCTCTCTCTCTCTCTCTCTCTTTATTTAGCTGCTTCAACAGTAGTAACAGTATGTGCTAAATTTCAAGCTCGGGCCTAGGCCCAAGCTTCGGGCTTTTTATGAGGGCCAAGCTCGGGCCCAAGTTGTAGGCCCGATGGTCTGGCCGGGCTCGAGCTCAGGCCTTAGAAAAATCTGTTAATATAGAGTGAAAGCCCGACCCAAGCCTAGCCCGGCCCGGCCCATGAACAAGTCTAGCTCCATCGTATAGTTGGGTAGGTGTCAGTTTGGAATCGATGCCAATATATAGGCAGGTATATTAGTGTTTAGTTGGGAATTAGGATCTGCTCCTAACACAGGGCGCCTCACACCAACCTCACAAGCACATCCCATCGTGCATTTGAAAGATCTCCAGTAAATAATAACACATAAACACGGAAGATATTCCAAATGCACGGTGAGATATGCCTATAAGGTCGGTGTGAGGCGCCGTGTGTGAGGAGAAGATCCGGTCTCTTTAGTTGGAGGAGTTTAAAATTTTGAATTGTTGTGGGTCAGAAGTGGAATTCAAAATTTTGGGGTGGAGTGCTTCTCGATTAGTATCCTTGTAATTTAGTGTCTACCCTTAATCATCCTTTAAGTAGCATTTGAAAAGACAAAAATGCCCTTTTAGTGTCATCTAATTTTTTTTTTTTATCAACCATCCAAATGTTGACAAAAAATGAATGGCCCCAAATGTTTGCCTCTTCTGTTCAACAAAGTTGGGGTCACAAGATTGTCCACTCAAATGTGACCCCAACTTTTTTGAATAGAAGATAAAATGATTTGAGGTTGTTCACTTTTTGTCAATGTTTGGATGGTTAATAAAGAAAATTAGATGACACTTGAAGGGCATTTATGTCTTTTCAAATGCCATTAATGACTAGTGATGAAGGAAGATTTGGCCCGACCTCGTAATCACTCAACACGTGGCAAAGGCAAACAGCTTGGCACAACAGCGCGCCCAAGGCGTGAGCACCGAAGGGAGGAACCAACAGTCCGAACTCCCTACCAGTAGTCCGAACTCCCTACTAGGAGCCTGAACTCTCCCTTAGGCCCTGAGCCTCACACAAGGCAATGACCCGAACTGGCCCGCCTCATGGCAGTTCGGGACACTCCCCTATCCGAACTCAAGACTTCACCTCGCTCACCACTCCAGCACTTCGCCTCTAGGACGTCGAACTGAACAAACATGCCATACCTGACACCGAGGAGGTCTGTATCCAAGGGCGGCGCACCTGACTGACTTGGGATCTAACGCTTGACAGCCGCTTCAACGGCCACCTGCCACCGTCATCGCCAGAGACGACTCCGACAAAGAGAGCAGTGGTGGTTCTATCCTGCAAAGGGAATGACACCCAAACTGGCAGGAGCTCAGAGATAATCATACTCGACCTGACAGAAGCTCAGAAGTGAGTGCACGAGGTGGTTATAAAAGGCTCCCTACCCCCCAAGAACAAGGTATGTGAACTTTGCGCCATCGGGTTTTATCTTGCCTTTGAGAGAATTCTAACTTGAGCTTCGGAGCCATCACACCGGGTTCCCCCCGAAGCTTCCTCATCTTCTCCGTTTCAGGTTCCCTGTAGCTCCGTTCAGAGGCAAGGTCGTTGACATCTAGGACCGGCCGGATTGCGCACCATCAATTGGTGCCGTCTGTGGGAAACCTTCTAAAAGCCTCCCTCTAAAACTCTCATAACCTCTTTTTTCTCCAAAAAACCCCAACACTCATGGCTTCTTCCAGAAATGCCGAACGTGGCACAGAGACGAACACCACCGGGGAAGTCGCCGAACTGCCACCCGTGTCCTGCCCGAGCTCAAAGGTAAGGAAGAGAAGAGCTCGAACGAGGTAAAAGATGCCCCAATTCTCTCAGTTCCTTCCCCCCTCGCATCAGAACTCCTGGCAGTCCCCATGCCCAAAGACTTCAAGCTCCCACCTTTGGACAAGTATGATGGGTCCTTTGACCCCAACGACCACGTCGATGCTTTTCAGTCCCAAATGCACCTCGCTAGGGCCAGTGAATCATGCATGTGCGTGGCCTTCACCACCACCTTCAGGGGTGTGACCCGCACCTGGTACAGGAACCTAGCCCCTGGGTCAATAAGAGGCTTGACCCAGTTCGTGCAGGTCTTCATCGCACACTTCGTTACTAGCAAGCGGTGCCCCAGAATTGAGGAAAGCATCTTCGGAGTAGTTCAGAGAGAAGGAGAATCCATCCGGGGCTACATCAAGTGGTTCAATGAAGCGTGCTTGTAGATACCGCGATTAGACTCCGCGGTACAGCTTGCGGCTGCCAAGAGAGGAGTAACGCACAAGGAGTTCAAATGGCACATGGTAGCCAACCAACCTGCGACTGTGGCCGAATTCCTCAAGCTCGCGGACAAGTTCATGAGAACAGAGGAAGAGATCAACCAAAGGACTGAAGGCGGGGTCGAGAAAAGGAAAAGATAAGGTGAGCCCTCCAACCCAGGTGACAGAAGAAACCCAGCCCGGGAGGTGAAGCCAAGCCAGCCGTCCCGAGTTCCCTTAGTAGTTTGGACAGATTACACCCCGTTAAACACGAGGCGGACCGAGATCTTGACGACGATCAAAGATGCCCCATACGTAAAGTGGCCACCTCGCCTAAAGGGGAATCCAAACGAGAGAAATAAAAATCTGTACTGTAGTTTTCATAGAGATCACGGTCATAGTACCGAATAGTGTAATAATCTCCGGGACGAGATAGAGGGGCTCATCCGTTGCGGGTACTTGAGAAATTTTGTACAACATAATAATAATAATAATAAGGCAAGTCGACAAGGGGAGCACGGGAAGGATGCCCCCAAATCCAGCAGCAGACTAGCCGAAGAGTTGCAACGACAGCCTCCGAAAGAGAGGCCAGTTTGGGGAACTGGCCTCCGAATGTCAGTTCGTGAGGCAGCCCGAGAAGAACAGAACCCTCCAAAGAGGCCGAAGACAGAAGAAGCGACCTTCTTCACGGAAGACGATGCGCGAGGTGTCCACTACCCCCATGATGATGCGCTTGTCATAAAACTAAGGATCAACGACTTCGAAGTCAGGCGCATACTCGTGGATTCAGGTAGTTCGGCGGGCATCCTCTTCAAGTCGGCATTTGACCAGCTACAGTTGTAGAGAAGCGAGTTGAAGCCCGCAAACACTCCTCTGGTGGGCTTCAGCAGAGGAAGTCAGGCCCCTCAGGAAGATAATAGTACTTGTGGAAGTCGGCACATGGCCTTGTGCGGTCAGACTCAACCACGATTTCCAGGTGGTCGCGACCCCCACCCCATACAATGCCATAATAGGGCGGGGTGACCAGCTTGAAGTTCCCTATGGACTTCGGTGTGGGGGTAGCGCGGGGCGATCGGCTTGAGTCCCGCAAGTGCTATGTTGCCGCCTTGAAAGGAAAAACCAAGGCGGTCAACGACCTCGAGCTAGAGCGGCCTACGGTGCAGGGCGAGGAACGAGCTTTGCTCACAGAGGAAACGGTTGCAATCCCAACTTTGGCTACGGATCCGGCTCAAACGCTACAGATCGGTGCTTCTATCAAGGAGCCTCTACGAACCGAACTGGTGAGTTTCTTACTTCAAAATTTAGATATTTTTGCATGGTTTGCAGCCGATATGCCCGGTATTGACCCTGGCCTTATAACTCACAAACTTAACACTGACCCTGTAGTCAGACCCATTAGACAGAAGAAACGCAACTTAGCCCCAGAGCGCGGAGGGCGGTCGACGAGGAGGTCGAAAAGCTCCTCGCAGCGGACTTCATAAGGGAAGTTCATTACCCGAGCTGGGT